ATACAGTGGAGCATCGTTTATACGACGATCACTTATACGACGTTTACATTTATACGACGTTTTAGTGTGGTCCCAAATCATTCCTATTCATTTTAATGTAAAAATATATCGTTTATACGACGCACAGAATCGGTTATACGTCGGTTTTTAGATTTTGCTCACATTTATTTAATTTTTTATTTTTTCTTGTGTATAAGGGTGCCAATAAGAAAAGGGTGCCAATAAGAATGCTTGGATGACGACCGTAATTTTTTCTAAATGACTGAAAAAACTAGACAATGCTATGAAGAAATTTGCAAAAACGAAAAATTTTGCTATTCATCGACCAATGTCCAGCGCACCCACCGATACTAATTATTTTGGAAAATGTAAAAGCTCTCTTTTTTCCTGCAAATTGCACAAGTGCGCTTTAGATTTGGCCGTGATTAGAAATCTAAAATTGCATCATAGAAAGCAATAAGTTCAACTAGCTATTCAAAGCATTGTAGAGACTAATAGCAAGAAAATATAATTAAAGGTAACATACATTCAAATTGCTCACTGCAATTTTTCTTCTTTGGTTATTTGTTTGTTTTGCTTTGTCTAATTTAGAAATTTATGTAAATCAACACGTTAAACATTAAAAATAACTGAAAACAGAGTTAGTTTCAGTTTTAGAAGTAAAAATCGATTATACGACGTTATCGTTTATACGACGTTTTTCGGTGGTCCCTTCGGCGTCGTATAAACGATGCTCCACTGTATATATATTCGGCTCTATTTGCAACGAAGTAGAATGCTTAGGTTTAGCATCGTAACTGTCTTTGGTATTTCAGCTACTTAATAGTTGTATTGTTTTTAATGTGTGTGTAGCACCAGCAAGTTGTCGTTATGAAACGAAATCGGATGTGATACTTCTGACTCCTGATTCCCTTCAATTTGCGGCCACAGCAACAGACTGTATGGATCAATGTGATGCAGAAACAGCTTTCAACTGCTGGTCTTACAGCTACGTCGACAACCGATGCCAGCTGAGCGGAGACAGCAGCGTCACCTGGGGAAAAAATGTCCAACTGCCCAAGCATCCGGGTGCAGTTTACGGAGAATTGAAATGCTTTTTCGGTATGTTTCCTCCTCCATTGATTTCTTACCTTCGATTGTTACAATGTTTTCCTCCTTCGGTTAATATTTTAAAAATCACAATAACGGAATGTTAAATAAATGATATTATCGATTTCTGTAATGCTTTTGGCGTTCCTATCTTATAAATTTCGTAGATTCTGATTACACTGTTTCGCATAGAAAATATACCATATTATACAAATATATTGAACATACGATTTAGCAAAAATGCGATATACATAAAAAACATATTTCTTCTGGTCAGAGGCTGACATACGTCAGATTAAGAGGAACAACATTTACGTTAATAATGTATCTTTCTTGTTATTAGATATATTTTAATTAAACTATGAATAATTTTACCTTACTAACACCCCATAAAATAACTCTTTACGAAGTATGCCTATAGTATTTCAAATCATGATTGATGATTTGAATAATAGGGATATCCTAACTGAAAGAATACATTCGGACCTCACAAAATAAAAAGAATAGTAATTTTGAATCATTGTGAAACATATTTTATAGATATGTTGTTAATAATAATAATTAATTACATCATATAAATCAATTATATGGAATAATATATCAATCAATTACGTAAAAAATTAATTACATTCTATTCAGTTTGGCGAAATGGATATTAATTAAGAAACTGTAGTAAAAAAAAAAAATTTAATATGTTGAGTTTATAGTGAGAATACTTTGTCCCCAACAGAACAATGTGATAATGGAGTGATGACTTTTGAAAAGATGACCGGTGTTCTTTTGAGGTCAGCTCAAGGCACGATGATGAAAGTGGAGAAGCCAGGAGCACTGGGCAATACACTGGAGTGTGCTCAAATATGCCTGGAGGATGGAACAGAGTGTCCGGCATTCAGTGACCACTATCACAACATGAGATGTGACAGACTGGACAGGAATTCAAATGGTCGAACTCAGGAATTGATTGCGAGAGACGGTGAAAGCTACTTTGAAAAAATATGCCTCCAAGGTATGATATTTCGAAAAACAACTATTAAAACATTAGTAGAATCCATCAACAAAGGAAAACATTGGTTATAAATGCGCTTTTTTAGAATAACATCGGATTTTTGGAATAATATCAGAAATAAGGAAAAACTATTAAAAGAAAATCAGTTGTTTAAAATAGTAGTCTCGATACTCTCGATACTACACACACGAAACTCTCATGTTTATCTTAAACTAAACACTAAGTAAGATGATATTTCTGATTTTTTTTTACAAAGTTTACTACAGATGAAATTATCTTTATGAAGATGCAAAAATTATGATCATTAAAATTATTTGTACTAATTAAATTTTTTATTTTATTGTTTAACATAAGTTAGAAATTTTAGTTTTTACTAAATTAAACAATATCCCAGAAAGAATATAACCCTTCTTTTCATTGTTCCGACAATGTTCGTAATAAAAACCTTTTTTCAAATAAAGCAAAAATATCTCAGTTTCAAACCTTTCATCCTAAGAGTATTATTTTTAAAGTTCTCTTAAAAAGGATTGTGGCATAGGAGCGTACAAGACGTTGCGAAAAAGTAACCTTATAATTATTTAGATTTAAGATTATTATCATCTTGAGACTAGGATTAGGAAAGGATTTTTTTCACGCTTCAAAACCCTAAATCAACCTCAATTTAACGTTTTTATATGGAAGGTTGTTTACTTAAGTTTAGGATTAAGGCAATGTGCGTAGAATAGGGCAGATAGTCACACATCTCGTTTTAAGGTTAGAAGGTTTACACACAAACCGCATAACAAACCTTTTAAGGTTTACGTGAAAAGGTTTTTGCTGTGTGGAGATAAACCTAATTTTGGTATCTGGGATGATACCGTGAAGCTAGCAATCATCGAGAGCCTTTAAAAAATATAGATTTAAGAAATTATTTTAACAAAGCGTTGAACTTTAAAAAAATATTGAAAAATTATTAAAAATCAATCGCCACAATATATTTGAAGCTATTGTTACATAAAACGATTATATTTAGTTTTAAAAAAACATGAATTTGTCTATACACTGCTTTTTTATGCCATGTTCGGATAATTTCCTTTTAAGATTGAACGAACTTTTAAGAGAAGAAAAAAATAACAATATATGACTTTGAAGATTAAAATGAGTGTTAGTAGAATTTTCGTAACGATGTTTTTTCGTTTGGAAAAAAAAAACTTATGTTTACAGCTGCGCAAGAAAATGGGGAAAAGGAGCTGTTCACATCATTATTTACATTCTGAAAAATCTAAAATAAAAATGAGATGCCTAAAATGTTATTTCGAAAGTAATGGAATTCATTACACATCAAATAATAAGATGGAAGTTTCGATAATTAGACATTTAAAATAAATGTGAAAAAGAAAAGAAATAATAAACAAACATCTAATTTGTAATTTTCATACTGCGTTTCTTGTTTTTTGTTTTTTTTTCCTTTTAGAATTTCCAGATGGATATTTTCTTGAAGACATAGTTGTTAGAAAAATCAATTACAAAAAATAATGGAGGGAAAAATACCTTTATCAAACAAATGTTGTTTATTTTTACGCAAGGTCGTTGTAGAATTAGAGGGATTCACGGAAGAATACATTTCAGTTATCATTTAACCCTTTTGTCACACTTTTTATCTCCTTTTGTAAGAAAGTTTGAGGAGGATAAATCAAGGTCTGTAATTTTTGCGAAAATAATTTCAGTGTTATTAAAAAAATAACACACAAATTCATTGTTAAAGTTAAGGCAATGGGTGCAACTTTCAGAGAATGTCTCATTTCTAGAAGAAAACTAACTTCGCTTTATCTTTATTTATTTATTTGGGGGGGGGAGGGAGTTGCATTTCCGATCGCTTGAACGAAAATGCTCACAAGCTTTCTCTTCAAAGCTTTTATTAAGCTGTTTGTAGTATGTTATTCACATAAACGAACAAATAAAACTCTTAAGACAAAGGTGAAAGAAATTTAAAGTTGTATAAGTCATATAAGTATATAAAGTACGTTGAGGTTAAAATATGTAAACTCAAGTAGGTTGTGTTTAATTTTTTTGTTCTAACCACGAATTCGGGTTTAATGAGCCACGGGATATAACACGCATTTTTTTGCTTCTTTCTAAATACATTTTATTTTAGTACCGTCGTTGAACAGCCGACCCAATTTTTGGATTTGCGACTACTGATGTACAACTCCGTAGCCTTGCCATTTTAAACCCAATCCAGAAGACAAGGGAACTCCTGCATCAAGTATTGTAAGGAATTTGCCTTCGAGGAGGACTTTTCAATGGAATTAACCCTTATTTGCGTTACACGGAGAGGAAAACCTCCCACGGTTAGCCTGACGGCAAGGGGACTCTAACCCACGATTCCTCTACTGAGTATATTTCTCGTCAACACTGTAGGTCGGTGCACGCCGGAATTTGTATCGACCCGCCATCGTTGGGATTCGAACCCGGTTCACCTCATAGGAAGGCAAACATCCTATCCCCTGAGCCATCGCGGCTTCACTCTAATCGATTAGCCTATCTAAGATAATTCCCCCGAACCATTCATATGCTCATAATAGTGTCTAGATGTATAATTTTGCAGGTCCTGAAGCTCAAACGTGTTCTGACAAATCGTGGGCCTTTGAGCGTGCCTTGGGTTATGAGATGTCTGAGAGCCTGTACCAGAAATCGATCAACAAAGTGGAGACGAGAACATCCTGCATTCAGTTGTGTCTCTCTGAGAGGGAGTTCACCTGCAGGTCAGCGAGATACGACGAAGAGAGCGGAGATTGCAGACTCTCACCTGCAGACCGAAGAACAGAACCAACAAAATACTACAGAAGTGAAGATTCGAGAGTGAGCTATTTGGAGAACAGTTGCCTACCAGGTACCACCATTTCTAAATGTTTCATAGAGATTCCTGTCTACAAATTTCGCATTTGTTTTTAATGATGAGACTTATTTGAATGAAAAAGATTGAAAAAATATAAGACAAATACAGTTTATGGCCAAATTATTAAGACGCACTCTAAGATTCTACGTAAAATCTTAATTATCAGAGGTTATACTCTATAAAGCTTTATTGTTTTTAAGCCGCAGAAACCAGTTTGCACTTGTTTACATCCATATTTTAATTGGTTGACATTGAATATAAATACAAATGGGAAATATATAAAAATCTCTTGAATAAAAATCCATTACGTGTCTGCTTAAATATAAAAGTAATACGTATAAACACCGGCAAAACATGCAATTATTAAAACACTACAATGCGTCTAATACTTTGGTATAATTATTATAATATACTAATATAATACTTGATATAATAAACATTCTATATTTGTATAATATATCGTCTCATGTATCGAATCGTCGAATTTATATTATATATCGACTCAATTAACCCATCGATACACGGACGTAAACAAGTGTAAACAGTATCGTAAAAACAACAAAGCTGTATTGCATCATCTGTATAATTAAGATTTTACATAGAATCTTATAGTCCGTCTAATATTTTGGCCTGTAATGGAAAAATATTCCTCCCTCCCATTTCTGCAAACTGTCATAAACGGCAGCTTTTGTGGAACTTACTAAATTTATTTTCAAAAAACTATTTTTTTTCTTCATTTTAATCAGAGTTTCTTCGCTTTGAACCAAATGATAAAAATCACCGATTTAAATATCAATAATTAAGAAATTTTTTACTTGCTTTTCAAAAAGTTTGAAGAAGAGAGATGAAAAGAAAAACTCTACCCCTGCTCGCTGACACACTGCCCAACCTCCTATGCAATCTTATAGGGTCTTAGTCCTTATTTGCAATCTCTGCAAATCAGGCTCATTTGAAATGCGTCCCAGCTGAAAATCTCAAGAAATTGAATCATTTATTGAAATCTTAAAGCCCATACAGCTTTTTAAAAAAAATTATACTTTTTAACCAATATTAAGTTATTGGAAAATAAATTTTAATTGAAATACATGCCGCAACATGGGAACGTGCAATAGAGAAACAAAACAAATGCTTTTAAAAAATAAGTACTCTAAAAGTTTCACAATTTTCTTAAGAATACAATTATAAATTTCAGAATTTTTAGCTGTCATTATAAAGCAATTATTATGATTATTGAACCTGATAATTAAAACATTATCTAAAACACTTTGTTGATATGAACTAATTGATTTTTTTTAAAAAAAATTTATTCTTCTCAGCTTTTATAGCTCAGTTTGCTTCATCTTATCGTTGTCACGACGCGAGAAAAGCATTTTCATTCAGAAATGTGTAAGCGCTTTCATGCTTATGACAGCTCACTTGCTTGATATTTCAATACTTTGTTGCAAACGTGAAAAGGAAATGAGAACTTTCGTTGTTGCCATGATGTGTGGTAAAATAAACTGAATAATGCGACGATACTATTCTTACGACTGCGATTTCTGTAAGATTTATTAGGACGAATAATACAACGATTTCTTATTTAATAGTTAACTTATGATTCGATCACAAAAAAGTTTACATTTACCAAAAACAATTATTCATCTGCTTGTCTGACCGCCCAGTAGCTTTAAATGCTAAAATAGTATAATTAATTAGAGGAAAGTGACGGATTGTATTTATTAACTAACATTTTATATTTATTCATTTCTTGATCGTTACTTTTTCGAACATGAGGGATTTTAATCATACAAATAGAAACCATTGTTCTATTGAATTCAACAATTCTTTTTTTAATGTCATAGACTTAGAATGGAAAGAGACGTCAGATCATTTTTAAAAAAAAAATTAATACAGTTATTTTATTTTTATCGGGAGATTATAAACAGAAAATATTTTGTGACTTTATTCATGGGCTATTAAAAAGCTTTCTTAATAGCTCGAAGGATCCCAAACTTACGAGATTCCAATGTCTAAACAAGTTTTCAATGAAACAATACCTATTACAGTTTATTAAAATAAGTTAATTAAGTTTCATACATAATTTAAAATGTTAAACAACATTGTAAAGATTAAGGTTGAAAGAAAGGTTTTTCAGATTTCATACCACAATACTATTTCAACCGCTGTTAAAATTACATTAAGGCCCCCATTAATTTTGAACCACTTGAAGAACGTTTGGTGACAGCAATGCGTATATTTAGTTAACCTTGCTGGATATTTTGTATATGGGTGATTCTTACAAAATATGACAATTCACTGTCCCTTGCTCCAAGATCTAATACTGTAATACTAAAAGAACTATTTTTTTAAAAAAAAATTAATAAATTGCATTGTTAGCATTTTAAAACGACTTTGCACTAGCATTGACTGTTTTGTATAGTTAAAAAATTTAACTGAACTTCAAAATGTCATTTTCCTGGCACGTCCCAAACAATGTTTCCAATAATAACTAGCTTCAAAACTTCCCATAAATGTTTCAATATCTAATTTTTTTATCTCAACCTGTGTAAGCATTTCTAGAATATACGCAAAGGGTATTATTTACAAAAACTTCGTTTAAAATAGTTTTTTCTGTCAATAATTTGTTTGTCCCAAGAAAATCTGTCATTTTCCTGGCTACTTTTATTTAGTGGTTTATAATCAAAATAGATGGAGCCAGCAATCAATATCTTATGTTAATTGAGTGATTAGGTACCATCCTAAATGAGCACGTCTTGTTGCGTGAATAAAGAACCAATTTTCTGGTTTAAAATCTATTTCAAAAATTGTTTCAAGATGAGTCGGTATTTGTGTTGTTATTTCCCTGGCTTCTTGAAATCATTAATAACGTAAACTACATAGATTTATCCGAGTTATTTTAAGAAATCCTGTTGTTTTCTGCGGAATGTAAACGTCTTAGGCCAAAATATAAAATTAAAGTAATGTTATATGCTATGAAATGGCGAATTTGTCATTATCCTGGCTTATGAATTCCAGGACATTGAAGTGTTACCAGAAATTTTTTTAACTGCTAATACTTTAAGGAGGAAAAGCAAATATTAACCTAATACTAAGTTTATGTATGATTGTAATATGGTTGGATGTAATTAAAGTTATTTATTTATGTAATGATTGATTATTGTACACAATTTTATTCTGTACATATCAAGAACAAAAAAAATTTTGATTCTTTCTACAGAGGATAAGAAAGAAATAATTTAAGCAATCTATGGTCTATCTAACATAAAGGCTTAAGTTGAGTGACTTACTATTAACTTAAAATGACTGTTTTTTAAACTTCTAAGCTAATATATCATTTTCCTGGCTTTCAAGATTTGCTGAATTTCTATTTTATTTTTTTTCTCGAGCAAATGTCAATAAACTGCACTGCTGTCTGTAAGATATTAATAAGTGTAACTAAAGAAGTACCTATACAAAAAAAATTTAGATTATTTTGAAGACTTTAAATTTGAAGAAATTTTTTGGTCCGAATTGTCATGTTTAAAAAGAATCACCCATATACAGTCAGATTATCAGACCTACTATATGATTCTATATAAAATCTTAATTACCATGTGATACAATTGTTTTTTTCGCGGACGAAGCCGGTTAGAACTTATTTACATTCGTTATCAATGGGTTAACATTGTAATGCAATACGTTAAAAATGAATACAAGTAGGAAGATCATAAAAAATCTCCTGAATAAAAAGTCATTACATGTATGTTCAAACATATAAGTATTGCCTATAAACGCGTGCAAAACATGTCATTATTAATAAACTACAGTACGTCTCATAATTTTGTCTAATTATTACAATATAATACCTGGTATAATAAATAATCTATATTTATATAATATACCGTCTAATTTATCCGATCGTCGATTTTATATTATATATCGTTCAATTTAACCCATTGATCACGAACGTAAACAAGTTCAAACCGGTTTAAGTCGCGTAGAAACAATGAAGCTGTATAGTATCACATGATAATTAAAATTTTGCATAGAATCTTATAGTGCTTTCTAATAATTTGGCAAGCGACTGTATAGTTTGTTAAAGTAAGAACTCCCCTCATCTGGATTCATGACGGGGTAACGAGCAGGGCAGTCTCGGGTCGGAATGACGAAGGGAATCATTTTCTTTTGTCTTAGCCCTAGAGTGAAGAGCCCTCCATGAAATTCTTGTTTCAATAGCAGCAGAAAGGCGGGGAGAGTTCTTACCGTAGACAAACTATAGGACAATTTATTCTATTACAGTGGACACTACGTGCCCCTACGTGGAAACAGAAGATGCTTATCCGACCTACGCCAACATTATACAAACGGAGGGAGTGTCCACCCTAGAGTCATGCCGGGATTTGTGCACAGAGCTGAAGAGGTTTTCGTGTCGTTCGTTCTCTTACTACTCCAGCGCCCTCCAGTGTTTCTTAAGTGGCGATGATAAGGCCAGCGGGGGTTCAGCAGCGATTCAACGTCGTCCAGGAATAGTATACTACGAGAGAATGTGCCCCCACGCAACCACCCTCGAAGCACTGCAGGCAGATACAACCGAAGTGACTCTTCCTGTGTCCATTCCTTCTGCTGTGGTGTCCAGCAACACGCAAGCTCAAGAAAAAGAAACAACCCTGAAGACGAGGCCACCCTATCAACCGCAAGAACCTTCGCCGCGTAAGTATGCAATTTTAAATAAATATCACTTCCCTTACCCTTATTTCTGGTCATTCATCTACTCCATTTTATGACAAATTATTGATAAATTATGCACCCCCGTAATGTACAAGTAGTTATTTTACAAGGTTCCTTTTTTTATAACCATCGTTGAACAGCCGACCCAATTTTGAATTTGCGATTACTAACGTTCAACTCCGTCACCTTTTAGCGTTGAAAAAATCCAGAAGACAAGGAAACTCCTGGATCAGTACCCCCAGAGGTATTGATTTGTTATGGGAGCATGGAGGACTTTGTGACTCGACAGATTTAACGCGCATCAGTCACGATTTACTGCACGAAGAGCCTTCGGCAGACTGGGATCGAACCCACGAACTCTTGGACATGGGTCCAGTGCCCTACCAAGCAGGATACCCCGGCCCAATTCACGAGGTTACAATAAGTTTTCTCTCTAAATAGCTTTATTCGCACACGAGAGCAACCTCAACTCTAAAGACAATTTCGCAGATAGGGTACTTTTATTGCTGAAACGGTTAATAGTAATAGGGATAAAATTTTTTGCTACTTATCTTAACTTTTGTCTAATTTTATATGTTATGCTATTATCTAGAAAGTAGAGGATTGATTTGACGGTTTGCTGATAATTTTCAATATACCTATTAGTAATACACCTTGAAACAACAAAAGTTGGAAATAACTTTGATAAATTTAAAAAAAATGATTAGTTTAATAAAAATGATGCTGTGATAAGGGTGTGAAATGAAATCATAGGGTTGTGGATGGTTTATAATCACTTAAATCAATCAGGTATACCTGCAAGAACGCGATCAACTGCTGAATCGTGGCACAAACGAATGAGTACCCACGTTTAACGTCGTTTGCAGATATCCAGTTGGGATTCCCCTAAGATAGGCCAAAAATTACTTTCCAATTTGCTGAAACCCACTTTGCGTTTATTAAATTAGATTGATTGCAATTTTGTTTGATACATTAACATCAATATAAATTAACAACATCCATTAACATTATTTGTTTTAAAAATATTCTTTGCATTCCTCCATGAGGAATTCTATTGTTCTTAGGGTTCCAGAGTTTTAATAAACGCCGAGGTTAGTATTTCCTGCTAAGTATTTTCTCGTTTAATACTACCACCATAACATTTAACAAGTGTATTTGCTGTTGTTTTCGGTTTAAGCGTTCCAACCTTAGTGATGCGGACCACTCAAATGTGATCCATGGATGTGCAATAAAAGAAATTCTTTTTCAGGTCCAGAATGTTCTCCGAGGGAGAGGTTAATTTTCGAAAGAGTGACCGGATATGAACCATTCGGAGTGACCTCCACTCTTCTGTACAGAGGTGATAGTTCAACTCCTGGAATCACAGCTGAATGTGTGAGGCGATGCCAGACATTAACTGACTGTCGTTCTTTTATACTGGACCACCAGAGATTTGAGTGCAGCACCGTACAAGATCCACCCAGCATTCATCCAGCAGATTTCAGATCTTCCATTGGAAAGACTTTCTTTGGCGGTATATGTGTACCCGGTAAGATATTCTATAATAGAAGAAAGTTGAGAATACTGCCAAGTGATAATAATTTATGACAGTGTACCGGTGGCAAAACAGTCCTGAGTGGGGCCGCGCGTCTTCCCGGCTGTCTTCCAATTTTTGGTCTTCAGAACTTTGCAATCCCATGACGCAAAAGATTAGACACACATAAAATTTTTCTAAAATGTTTTCCTACAGTTTACTAAATGTGTAATAAATAGATAGTATACCGGAATCAGTTTGATACCGGCTTACGAAACACCGGTTCCGGTATGATACTGGATCCGGTATACTATCGGATCCAGTATACCGGTATACCGGTGTTTCATAGACCGGTATAATTTTTTTGTACCGGGAATTATTTCCAATAGGGAGATGCTACGGAAAATGAAATGAATTCCTGTAAAATTAAAACGGAAAAAAATAAACATTCTTATTTTTGACAGTTTCAACTGTCGCAAATAATAATATTTATTCAGAAAAAATAAAGCAAAACTTTTTTTTTCATTCAATTAGAGCGCAGTTTTCCATTGAAAGGACGAGATTCAGCATGTTTTCTAGATCAACCTTTAATACCTTCTTTTGTACTGTTAACCGTTCTCATATGCGTGTCACTCATTTTACTAACATTTATGGGGCGCGCACTATATGATGTTATATTTAAATAAAAAAGAATCGAAAATTGATTTCTTATTTATCAAACTTAACCTGAGCCATCCATTTGGTACGCTTTTAAAATTCAAAGGGCTTCAACACTATTTTGAGTCAAACAAATATTTTAATTGTTTTCTGAATCGAATAATTGTAATTTAATTCATGACTGTGAATAACCGGAATGGGTTGTACATTGGTGAATGTTGACAATCACATAGTCGCTTCGGTAAATGTCCGAAATAGGTCCAGTTAAGTGCCCGGTATTCCCTATTTTTAAGGTTCAGTGCCCGGAACACTGATGTCTTTCCTAATCTATCCTCAGCAGGTATTAAGATACAGAATAAATGTAACAATATCAACGAATAAATTAACATCAAATCGGACATAACAAATATTTTGATCATTAACGTTTGTGATTGTTGACATTCACCGATGAAAGTAGACATTCTCTTAATTTCGATCATTCACGGTAACATATATAATGATTCTCTATTTGGTCCTTAAAAATCGAATGAACTGGGCAGCTCACATTTTCAGAAGGAATGATGACTCAAATTTAAAGAAAAACCTATTACACAAACCCCTAACGAACAGGAAAAGAGGTAGACCCAGGCTGAGATGGCTGGATTTAGTTGAGACTGATTTCCTTCCTCTAAAGGAGAAAAACTGGCGAACAAGTGTCAAAAGTAGAGAGAAGTGGATTCGAATTCAAAGGAAGGCACTGGCCCACCCTGGGCTGTCTAGCCAGATATGATGATGATTTGGCCCTTAAACCACTAAAAACGTGTAGATAATAATTTTGTTTTAATCCAAAGATCTCTCGGTCTATGTATTTAATTCTTAAATAGAAAAAGAATTTTCTTTTAATTGTTTTTTAGCTTATGTGGGATGCTCCAAGTTGTGGGTCTACGAAAGAACAACAGATCACGAACTTCAAGGTTTGTCTCCAATCGACGTGGTCAGGGTGGTCAGTTTAGAACAGTGTCAACAATTTTGCCTCGAAAGCCGAAAGTACGTGTGCAGAGCAGCTAACTATTTCCATTTGAGAAGAGAATGTCACATCTTTGATGACGACAGGACAGCCGACAATGCTCGACTGGCACCTGCTAGCCGAGTCGACTTTTTTGAAAACCAATGTCTTGTAGGTGAGTAACAACGTATTAAACTTCTTTTACACTATTCCATGTAAATGGGACAACAAAACTTCATAGGATAGAAAGTTTGCTTTCTAATGAGCAGAACAGGTTTCGAATCCCTGAGATGGTTGGTTGAAATGAATCCGCATCCAACTTGCACCGACCACAGCGCTGACGTGAAATATCCTCAGTGGTAGACGGATCATGGGTTAGAGTCCCCTTGCCGTCAGACTAACCGTAGGAGATTCTCGTGGTCTTCCTCTCCATGCAATGCAAATGAGGATTAGTTCCATCAAAAAGTCCTCCACGAAGACAAATTTCTCCCAATATTTGATCCAGTAGTTCCCTTGTCTTCTGGATTGGGTTCAAAATCTCGAGGCTACGGAGTTGATCATTAGTAGTCGTGAATCCGAAATTTGGGTCTGCTGTTCAACTACCGTTGTGAAATAATACTGTTAATATAGTGCATAAAAATAATTTGTAGAAATTGAACGAGTAACGTTTTTTCTCAAGAAGTTTCTTAACAGTTGTCTCAATGTGTTCTTTAACTAAACTGTCATTAAATCATAATAATTCATAATTATTCGACATACTTAAATCACTATAAATTCGGATTTGTGTTGATGCGTATGATTTTTAATGGAATAAAGTGGAATTATATAAAGTTGCGGATGACTGTTGAAATTCTGTACCGTAATGACTCAACCTGCGCTGTGGAGGAGATATAAGAACTGTCGGCAGATTACCATTAACGTATTGTATATCATGTAAAAGTCGTCTTTATAAAAATGGATACCCTGGCTCTTTTTTAAAAAAAAATCTGACTGAAAGTAAGTATGAGCGCGATGGCTCAGGGAACGTTCGCCTTCCAATGAGGCTAACCGGGTTCGAATCCCAGTCGATACGAATTCCGCATCCGGCTTACATCGACCACAGTGATAACGTGAAATATTCTCAGTGGTAGACGGTTCCTGGGTTAGAGTCCCTTTTCTGTCAGGCTAGCCGTAGAATGTTCTCGTGGTCTTCCTCTCCATGTGATGCAAATGTGGGATAGTTCTATAAAAAAGTCCTCAACGAAGGCTAATTTTTCCCAATGTGTGGATTTAGGAGTTCCCTTGTCTTCTGGGTGCAAAATGACAAGGCTTCGGAGTCGAACATTAATAGTCGTGAAACCATAAAATTGGGTCGGCTGTTCAACTACAGTTATGAAAAAAGTAAGTATAAAAAACCAAACGTTAAGCAAAATTACAATACAGAAAAGTTACATTTATTGGATCCAAAAAAAGTGCTCCACACTTCCAAAAAAGAAGAAGAAAGTGAGTCATGATGAATTCGAAATTACATGCACTAAAATATCACCGGAAAATAGCAAAAAAATTAATATTTATCGAAATGAATAAATCGACATAATTGTACCTCCTTTCTTAAGCAATCTTCATTCACGTAAAATGATAGAATAAAAGAAACAAATACAATTAATCTCTCTTAGTAGAAGTAGACCATTTACATTTAAATAAAATTTAGCTTTTATATTTAATAACCACTAAAAAATATGTCTGGGATTCAAAAATTTGAAAGCGTTGAAAAAAAAGGTATGTTTATTCCAAGAAGACACATTTTTTTTGTGTCTGAATTCGTAATATAAAATATCGTCTGCACGTATTTAGCCCATTTGAGGTCAGTCCATCGAATCATTAAGATTGAGTCCTAGAACGTGATCATTCAATCAGAAGTTATTCTGAGTGGTCCATTTACGCTTTGTTTTCGCACTGTACATTTGAACAAGAGAATGCTGATGATTAAAAATACACAATATTTCCGTGTAAAATAAAAAGATTGCCATAATTCTTATGTTTTGTTTCTGGTCTTGTTCGATACAGTGTGAAATAATGCATCGGAAACAAAACGTCGTAGATTTAGAAAGGAATTTCTAAATTAAATGGTGCATTAACATCTTGTTTTTTGTGAACGATTAGTGAAAGAAATGCATGAAATCAATACCCATTACCAGATGCATAAAAGTCAAACAATGTACTTTTTTGTGCATAAAATTATTAAAACTTGGAAATTATGACTTGTCATTGAGCATGAAAAAGAATGATACTTCATTTCTGTAGATATTTACATTTCTTTCTCCACTTTTTACACTTGTGCTGGGAATCTGACATTGAGTTTCTTTTATTTATTTTAATCTATTTATTTATTTATTTATCTATTTTCGTTATTTATTATTATTTTTTTGATGTTTGATTTTGAGCTTTAGTTTGTATAAAGTAAGAACTCCCCTAGCCATTTATCTGGACCCATGGTGGTGACTATGGTGACGAGGTATAACTATTTCCAGTAGAGATGTGGGGTCACTGTTTAGGGCAGGATTGAGAAAGATACTATTTTTCTTCGGTCTATTGTATTAGCCCTAGAGCAGTGTTTCCCAAAGTGTGATACGCGTACCCCCAGGGGTACGGGAACAGTTTAGCGGGGGTACGCGTTCTTATGCGAAATATCTTGCAACAAAAGAAAATTTAGAAAAATTTTATTTTAAAACAAAGTCAGCCATGAAAATTTACCATTACGTATTCTTCTTTTATCTCTTTTTTGCAGAGTTAACAGTTAATAATGAGTGATGTCAACAGTCAGTTGTGATTTTTAACTTTCGCGCAATTTTTTTATAGTAAAGGCTTGTAATAAATTAAACTTATTTTGGTTATTTTTATAAAATATAATTTTTATCCCTAACATGGAGTTTTTTTTACCAAAATTTAAGAATTTCTTACCGAAAACTTTGTACCAAAAAAGAAAAGTAAACACACTTTTTTTAAAAAAAAATACATTCATTTTTTTGTAAGTGGTACACAGCGTTACGTAAAATTTAGAAAGGGTACGCAAAAGTCATAAGTTTGGGAAACACTGCCCTAGAGTGAAAAGAAGCTACTATTCCTGAAATACGCTCTTCTTGTTTTCATAGCCGCAGACGTCTTCAGATTTTGTGGCGGGGAGTTCTTACCGTAGACAAACTATAACATTATTTTACTGTAATATACGCCTTCTTTTTTCAGAGACCTCTTTTTGTCCTTACCAAAAATCGGAGGAAAATTTGGCGATGGTGTACGTGACCAAATCCATAGTGGACACACCGTCCACCCTGCACTGTGAGAGAGAGTGCAACCGAGAGAGGGAATTCAACTGCAGGAGCTATACTTATTGGGACAGGGGTGCCCACGGTAGCCTCTGCATGCTGAGTGCTGAGAGTCGACTCACCGGTCAGGGGCATGGACTCTCCTACAGGCAGGGGGCCACTTTCTCCGGCAAAACATGTCAATTGTCTCCTCCTGAAAGTCGGGAATCGCATACAACTTCGACGACCGTCACAGGGGGGGATGTAACACATCATCCAACAAGGTGTGTTCTTTCTGTGCAAATGTATAATACCCAAGTCAGAATGCTTGATGAAACATTTTGATGGTTTCGGTGCGGTCCAATATCATTTGATGGTCACCATTTTCCATTATGTGTTTTTGATATACATTTCATGATGGACTTTGTGACTATGATGGTTAAACATCAAGAGAATTCTCAAGGACCTACAATCCATGATGGTTTAATGGCAATTCTTGTTGGTTCTCTCGAATATAACATCAAAACAAGTTGCCATTCTTATGTTGGACCATCATAAATCACTTTTAATTCGGGTGATAGTTACTTATGTTGTTTTCCATCAAAAATTATAATGGTGGTTACCGTCCAGATTATGTTAGTCCATCAAAAGAAAACAATTCCGACTTGGGTAGAGAAGTATAGTGTACAGTACAAAAGTACATTAGATTAGGCAAAAAAAGAATTATATTAATCCCCCTCCAAAGCTTTAACTACTTACTCGTGTTAAAACATTTCCTTGCATGTTTTTTTTCTACTACAGTTTCTCGTTAAGTTCAAAAATTGTCGGTGGAGCTGCAAATTGTAATTGCTTTTGCAATTTATTGCAATCACTTTATGAGTGAAAATCTCAATACAATATTTTGAGCCGTCGTGGCTCAGGTGATAGAGTATTCGTCTTCAATTGAGGTGACCCGGGTTCGATTCCCAGCGTTGGTGGGTCGATACGAATTACGCACACGGCTCAAACTGACCACATTACTGACTTAAAATATCTTCAATTGTAGACGGATCATGGGTTAGAGTCCCCTTGCCGTTAGGAGAACAGTGGGAGGTTCTCGTGGTTAACGAAAATGCGTGTTATTTCCATCAAAAAGTCCTCCACGAAGGCAAATTTCTTCTTCATTACTTCTTCCTTTGTCTTCTGAATTGAGTTTAAAATGACAAGGCTTACGGGGTTGAAAATTAGTTATCGTGAAACTGTTCAACGACGCTTATAGATATCAGCTGCAATCACATGTTGTGATTGCATCACATATTAAAATTTGAATCTTAACTATTTGTATTACTGTCCCCTAAATCGAGAAAATGTCTTTCCTACACTGGAAGGAAATATTAAAAATTGATGCAATGTTACATGTATTTCATTATAAAAAAAGAAATTTCAACCATTTTTGTTATAAATTTTTGAAAACCATACATTTATTTTAGAACACTCGGTTCTTTTGGCTTATATTCTCTATCATTACTCACACTTCTTTTCAAATAATATAAAATAAAGAATGGAATTTATTTATTTCTGCTCACAGGAGTAAGAGCTTCAAATCTGTTTCAATATTTACTTAAAAAAATGTTCTTAAATACAAAACAAATATGAAAGACAAGTTACTTGAAGAAATGGGAACTACAATTGGGGAAATAAGACTAGAAAAAAAATCCTGCAATATGTTTTAAAAATGTATATTTTTTTTATATAAAATAATTTTTTTTAACGTACATTTTTTGTTATCCCAAGTAACATAGAAATGAAGTCTTGAAATTCGATTTCTATTGTACAGTCCCTGAACAAATCATTAGATTAAAGATTCCATGCATAATCTTTTATTATCAGGTAATACCCAACAGCTTTCTTGTTCTTACGCGGCTGAAACCGGTTTACACTTGCTTACGTTCGTGTATCGATTGGTTAACATAGTAATGCAATACGTTAAAAATAAATACAAATAGGAAATATAGGAAAACTCTCCTGAGTGAAAAACCCATTCCATGTAGGTTTAAATGCAAAAGTATTGCTTGTAAACTCGTGCAAAACATGTCATCATTAAAAAACTACTGAGAGACTAATAATTTAGTCTAATTATTATAATGTTATAATATAATACCTGATATAATAAATATTCTATGTTTATATAACATATCGTCCAATTTATCTAATTGTCGAATTTATAGATTAGATTAGGCCCATTGATACACGAACGTAAACAAGTACAAACCGGTTTCAGTGGCGTAAGAAAATAAAGCTACAAAGTATCACCCGATAATTAACATATTCCATAGAATCTTAGAGTGCGTGTAATAATTTGGAAAGTGACTGCAAATGTTGAACTTTCTCGATGGTTTCGCTGATGTCGTTGTATTTCAACAGGGTGACAGATATTCCGACTTTTAAGCCGCCTCCAATAATTCCACCTCCACTATTTCCACCTCCCCTATTTCCACCTCCATTCTGCACACCCCACGAGTTCACCTACGAGAAAGTGATCGGCCATGACGTGAGAGGAGGTAGAAGGGAGAGGATACCCACCCGACTACCCATCGGGGTGGTGCAATCCTGTCAGATGGAATGTCAGAAACACGGAGAGAGATGTCAGGGATTTGTTGTTCAATACAAGAGTTATCAGAACTGTTACATCATTCTGAGAGATCCCACCGACGATCCTGTGTTGGTACCTTCACTCGACTCCATTTACTTCAACAAAGTCTGCCTCAGAGGTAAGTACAGTTTGTCTAAAGTAAGAACTCCCCTAGCCATTTGTCTGGACCCGTGGCCGCCGTGACTATGATAACGAGATGTAACTATTTCGAGTAGGCGTGTGGAGTCATTGTTTAGGAAAGGGTTTGGCGAAAAAAAGGGAAACTTTCTTGGAGGGACCACTGTGTAGAGCGTTTTCCTTCCAATGTGGTAAACCGGGTTCGTATCCCACCGATGGCCGGTCGATACGAATCCGCATCCGGCTTGCACAGATCACGGCGCTAACGTGAAATATCCTCAGTGGTAGACGGATCATGGGTTGGAGTCCCTTTGCCGTCAGGCTATCCATGGAAGATTCTCGTGGTCTTCCTCTCCATGTAACGCAAATGCGAGTTAGTTCCCTCAAAAAGCCCTCTACGAAGGCAAATTTCTCCCAATACTTGATCCAGGAGTCTTCTGGATTGGGTTCAAAAGGCTACTGAGTTGAACATTAGTAGTCGTAAACCCAAAAAATTGGGTTTGTCAGTCCAACAGCGGTTATAAGATTAAAAAAAATACAATTGATTGTTATGAGCTCGATTAACAACGTCATCAGATGAATGCACTGATTAGCCACCCAATCGGTGTGAGGATTCCCGGTGTATGAAGGCCTTCTCTGAAGTAGTATCTGAATACATTTTAATGTAATGTTCCTCAGAGCCGGAAAAAAAAACTATGCACGGTTGGAGTGCAGATGATTACCATCACACTCCCATACAAATTATGTTAATTCAGAGTTTGCTAAAAGCGCGACATTAATAATTAAACTAAACCAAATTTACTTTTCCTACTATTATAATTCGATTCTAAAATCATTTGAGCAGTTTGTTTGAGTATAAAGTTGATGGTTGCATATAAACTAATAAAATAGTTTTTAATGATTTTAATGTCTCCGTCGCTCTTCATAACCACCCATAATGCTTGGTTATAGCTTGAAAACATTTTTGTATTTTTCAAAGCATATTTCATTTTTATTAAAAATTAATTTTTAAAATCTAAAATTAAAAAAATAATAATAAGCAACATTTTTTTATAAAAAATTATTTTAACCTATTTATATAAAATACTATTTATATAAAATACAAGTTAAATAAGGTTTTCTTCCAATGAGGTGAATCGGGTTCGAATCCCAGCGATGGCTGGTCTGTACGAATTCGGCACCCGGCTCACACCGGCTGCAGTGCTACCATAAAAATATCCTCGGTGGTAGATGGATCATGGGTTAGAGTCCCCTTGCCGTCAGGCTAACCGTGGGAGGTTTTCGTGGTCTCCCCTTCCATGTAACGTAAATGCGAGTTAGTTCCATCAAAAAATCCTCCACAAAGGCAAATTTTTACCAATATTTGTTCAAGGAGTTTCCTTGTTTTCTGGATTGGGTTCAAAGTTTAATGGCTACGGAGTTGAACTTAAGTAGTCGTAAACCCAAGAAATTGAGTCCACGACGGTTATAAAATAAAATAAAATAATAACAATTAAATAATTTTTACATTTATAGTAAAATTTTATTTTAAATACGCACTTATTTTTGATTTGATGAAATAACATTAATTTTGCAAATTTAATAATTGCCTTTGATTTTAATCAAGACCTTGATCCATGTCTTCAAAATGAGAAAGGGTTACGTAGTTGAACATTAGCAGTCGTAAACCCAACAGTTGGGTCGTCTGTTCAACGACGGTCATAAAATATAAAATAAAATACATAAAAATGTGGCAATTGCAGAAGTGTGTTGAGGAATTTATTGAAAATGTTTATGTGTTTAGAGAAAGCGTGCCAAAAGATCTGGAGTTTTGAAAGGTACCTCCACTACGAGATTCACGGAGAACCCATCCGAGAAATAGGGGGTGTAGCAGAAAGGGCTGATTGTGAAGATCTGTGTCTTCGAGAGAGTTGCAAATCAGCCGTCTACCACTACCTCGACAGAAAGTGTTTGTTGTACTCTGAGACGAAGCGATCTGCACCCAACAGATTTCTCTATTCCAACGAAGAAGTCGAATACCTTGACAATCAATGCATATCAGGTAAATATGAATGAAATATACCCACCCTAATACTTCTGGAATTTGTTTCGTGTGCAAAAGTTGACCATAAAGTTTTAAATATATTTTTTTTAAAAAAAGAAACATGTGAAACTGCACTTACTTTTTTTTATACCGTTGGAGGGGAAACAGAATTTGCCCTGAGAAGTTTTCCTCTTTGTATAGCGAACTCTTAAGCTGCCAACACAAAGGATCAATACGTCTTTAAGCTTCAGATGATCGGGATTGACTATAATCGTAAAGGCAACAGGTTGTTATAGTAGGCCATTAAGGCTATCTTGCTTTGTATTGGCCATTTTGTTTTCCCTACTGCTTCCAGTTTTATGTAGATAATGTATTAGGTAGGCACAACGACTGAAGAAAGTGCTGTTCTTTCACGGATAAGCAAGAACACTCTTAAAACATTATAAAAGGCTTCAATGAAGTGCACCCAAGTCAATCTTCTTAATGGTCCCATCATAACATTTTGATGGTTTCAGTACAATTCATGATGGTCCAACATCATGCAACATTTTTCATTATGTGCCCATGGTTTTTGATACGCCAACAAACTTCCATCATTCCATGATGGAAAATGCTGCATTAATACTATGATGATTAACCATCAAGAGAAATTTGATCCATGATGGCCCCAACTATACATTTCCATGATGTTTTAATGGCAACTCTTGTTGGATCTCAGGAATATACCATCAAAACAATTTGGATATTTTATATGTTGGGCCATCATGAATCAGTCCCGTTTCCTACATTGGGATGATGCTGGTTCATGATTGTTCCAACATTTGTTTTCTAAGACACTACGATGGAAATTCGTGACAGTCCATAATAGTACAATAATGCATTTCCATGGTGGCTTAATAATAATTCTTGATGAGGAATATAAAACCGAAACAATTTTTTTTCTTATGTTGGACCATCATAAATCAGTCCCGTTTCCTACATTGGGATGATGGTGGTTCATGATCATTCTAAAATCTCATTTCTTAGAAATTACGATGGAACTTTTTGATGGTTCAACAAGTTTCCATGCTCAATTTAGACCATCGTAAGTCAGCCCGAATTCCTACATTGAGATGATGGTTACTTATGTTGGTTACCATCAAAAATATAAGGGTTCATCATGGAAATATTGATGGTTACCATCAAGATTATGTTAGTCCATAAACGGAAAGATATCAAAAATGTGGGCTATAACTTATGCGTCTTTTATGAGCTGTCGTATAAATGATTTATTTTTTCATTTATACGACAGTTAGCGAAAAGCTCATTACAGAAGAAAATAATGATAATTAATTATCATTCGTTTACGCGTCGCGCCAAAAACAAGTAATTCAATTTTGGACCGACATTTTTCTTAGAACAGCCAAATTTCAATTTTTTCATTAAATAGAAAAAGAATCATATTTTTTTACTTATGAAAAAATTCTTATATTAAAAATTCCAATAAAATAAGCAATCTTTGTTACAAATAAAATGTTGTTTTTATAGGAAGACCTTTTCTTTACAATTTTGAATAAGGTTTCTTATCTGTTACCACCCACATTGAAACCCCCCCCCCATCTAACTTTAAGAGGACGCCATACCGCGGGAGAAACTTTTTGTCGCAAATTCTCTTTCTCCTCATTAACTACTTTAAAATTTGAAGAAAATAAAAAAGCGAGTTCAGGAAAATCTAGAGTAAGTCACAATATTTCAGTGATTGGAGAAAAAAAAATCCAAATACCAAGAATATTGAAAGAGAACTTCCCAATTCCTAAGTTATCTTCTCATAATTTATTTTTAATTTGATATTTTAAAAATTTCTTTTCATTGTTTGAAACTTCCTGTATCGCTCTAAGTTTGTTTGAACTCACTTTTTCCATACTTTAAATTTTAAATTAGTTATTGGGATAAAAGAATATTTTCAGTGGCAAGTTTCTCCCGTGGTATGCCGTCCTCTAAAGAAACGAACCTTTGTTCAAGCCCAGCTGTTAATTTTTTCCCCCATGCTCTTTTTCAACACTAAATTGCCCAAGGATTTTGATTGCTTTTTAATTTCAACTAGAAAAAAAATGATGTACATAATGATACAATTTTGTAACTTTTTGTACAACATATAATTTTTTAAGCGTTCATATTTACTAATAACTTGTTATATAACTGTAAATAATAATAAAAATATTTAAAATTAATTTTAAACAAATTTCTTTACACGTTAGTTATTCTTTCAGAATTCAATCATTTTTATTGCTTTTGGGCAATATAGGTATACACTAAGTTTCAATCTATCTAGTTTTAAAAAAAAAGAACAACTGAATACGAAAGGGACGGTGGTCACTTTCTTGCAGTCAAATTGACGTCTTTGGTAAATAAAAGATGGCCTGTTTAGTGACCGTAGTAGTCAAACAACCTGCGGCATCTTTACATCTGCTTAAAAAACCCATCATGCACCTTCTCTCCTCTACCAGCAATAAAACTTTCGTTTTTGAAAAAGGACTGTTAAATGACAGTTGTTGCAATTTTAATTTATTAACGTCTCACTAGAGTTGTTCAATGGGCTATGGTCTGGGAAACATCCCTGAGGATGATTTGAAGACATCACAATTTTGATCCTCTGCAGAGGGAATGGCAAACTCGCTTCGGTAGCTCAACAACTTGCACGCGAAGTCGAGCAATTTACGGTAGAACAGTTTTACGAGGACCCATATCGTACACCCTCGGTCCTATCGCAGGCTGATCAAAGTGATCAGCCACCTGCACACTGACCACATTCAGTGATGCTTCTAGCTTGTGTCCTCTTTTACCATCGCAACCGCTTCCTGAGGATTTTTTAATTTGTGCTTTTCCTAAGCATTTTTCTGCAACAAAACAGCGTAAAACTATTGATTTTTAGTTAACAATGAACAATATCCCATTTACCTCACTCTGAAGAAAAATGACCCTATACTCTTAGGTAATAATCTTTATTATATTGACAGAAAATAATAATTATAAGGAATTGTTTAGTTGAATCTTACGATGGATATTTTATTGGAGGGTTGAAATGAATCAACTTGCTTTCAAGCTATTTTTCAAAAATGTATTTAATAATTATTGACTAAATATTTTTATTTAATAACTATTTTAAGGTCCTTAAAACAAAATATACACGCAAACTTGATAAAAACATTTTTAATAAATTTTTAGTCGACGATTACGAGTACGATTTAATGAATAGTTTATTTTATTTTATTTTCTTGAATTACCCGGTGATCAATGTGTAAAATTATTTAACATGATTTTTTCAGAAGCCCCGACCTGCCAGTATCGAGATTTTCCGGATCGTTTCCTTCAGCAATTGGACAGACTGTCGAAAGCATACAACCTGAAGGATTGCCAGCGACAGTGTGACACAGAAAGGGAATTCACGTGTCGATCTGTGAACTTCGAGACTGTGGCCAAAGACTGTGCCCTCAGCAGTGAAGATATTTCCAGTGTGCCCCAGGGTGTGAACGCCCTCCAACCCAGACGAAATTCACTCTACAGTGAAAAAGGCAGTTGTGAACAAGGTATTTATCTCTCTCTCTCACATGGATGCTGCTTTAACCACAGTCTCTGGACACATTATTTTATTTTAGCCATCGTTCAACAGCTGTTGATGTTCAACTCCTTGTCATTTTGAACCCAATCCAAAAGACGGGAAAACTCCTGGATCGAGTAGTCGAGAGACTTCGTGGGGGACTTTTCGAGGGAGCTCACCCGCATTTGCGTTACATGGAGAGGAAGACCACGAAAACCTTCCACGGTTAGCCTGACGGCAATGACTCTGACCCATGATCCGTCTGCCACTGAAGATATGTCACTCCAGCACTGCGGTCGGTGCAAGCCGGATGCGGATTTGTATCGATCAGCTGTCGCTGGGATTCGAACCCAGCTTACCTCAATTGAAGGCGAACCCTCTACCCCCTGAGCCATCGCGACTCTGAAGAGAGAGCATTTGTTATGCATTTTTATTTGAAATATTTTTGACAAGGATTTTAGGGAAATATATAAAGAATGCTTATATATAGCAAATAAAAAATATAAAAAATATTACGGTGGTTTTTTTTTTTTTTTTTTTTTTTTTTTTTTTNACACGGGGAGTCTGCGGCCGGCGAGGATCGAACCCACGACCTCTTGGATATGGGCCCAGCGCCCTACCGACCAGGCTATCCCGGCCTTTGGACAAATTATTAGATGCACCGTAGTTTTTAAATAATTGCACGTTTTGCGCGAGTTTATATGCGATATTCTTACAGTCCCAGGTTGAATTATTCTATAAGATTCTATGTAAAATCTTAATTATCAGATGATATTATATAGATTCATTGTTTCTACGAGACTGACTTGCACTTGTTTACGTTCGTGTATCAAGTGGTTAAATGATACTGGTTATGGTTAAATGACTACTGATGATATATAATATAAATTCGACAATTAGATAAATGAGACGCTATATTATATTAGTATTCAATATTTATTATATCAGGTACTATCCTAGTATATTCTCATAATTAGATCCAATTATTAAAAGCAATGTAGTGTTTTAATAATGACATATTTTGCGCGAGTTTATATTCAATACTTTTATGTTTAAACATACATGTAATGGGTTTTTATTCGGGAGAATTTTTATATACTTCCTATTTGTATTTACTTTTTACGTATGGCATTACAATGTTATTTAAATATTTTAGAGATAAATCTGTTTGGTTTGTGTTTTGTTCGATCTCTGTGTAATGTTTGATAAAGAAAGTGATTTTAAGAATGAATGCGAAACATCTCATGCAATATTTCTCTAAATTTAATGGTTAAAAAAATATTATGTGAAGGAACACTTCAAACCAAATCGAGCTTTCGCAAATATTTAAATAGTGAAGTTAAACACCTACACTATTTAAAAAACTAACCTTACGAATTTACGCCATACATGAATTATTATCTCTTCCGTAAGCACCAACACTGGCTCGTTTTGGATATCATGAATAGATTATTTACAATCGAGTACGAGTTGGCGTTAGTTTGTTCCTGACTTTTACGGAGCTTTTGGTGTAAAAGCAATTGCCATCTTTTTAGTGTTAAGAAACGCTGACAATTTTTGCGGTGTCCATACATTATTATAATCGTTTAAAAAAAACTTGTATCACTGTAACTATAAATTTTTGTTTTACCTAAAAATGAGGGGTTTACACCAAACAAAGAACATCCTTGATATTTCATGACACTATTCTTATTTAAGGCATACTTTTAATCTCAATTTATATAAACAAAATTTATTCGCTGAAAATAAATATGAATTTAAATACCCTTTGAAGCAGAGAAACATACTTTTTTCATAATTTTGAATTCATTTAGGCTAAAATTGGGTATATTTATGAAATACAACATGAATGTCTCGATCTGCTTGAAATTTGCACTGATTAGCAATTATTTAGGAATTTATCATTCTTTGAATTACGAAACCAATTATAGACAAATTTTTGTCTATGAATGAAAAAAATAATTTTCAGACTACTTTTTTTTAAAAAAATAAATAAATATGTATCTATATTTAAATGCTTGTTCTGAGAAGGGTGTAATTTATTACAGTGTCTGTGCAGTGCAATCCACAAGACATGCTCCTTACAATCCACTTTGACAGTCCATTTCATGGGAGAGTGTATGCCAAAGGAAATCCATCCCTCTGCTTTGTAGTGGGCACAGGTCAGACCAGCTTACAGTTTGCAATCTCTATGGGGGCTCGTTGTGGCACCACAGCTGAGGTAAGAACAACAAACTTCTTAAAAATTAATATTTAAGTGAAAAACAAACTACTGAGATTCTGAAGAGATTGATCATCAGTTGAGAATAAATTTTGAAGACGCTTCTTCGCAAATTCCTTCATTCATCACCCATAGTGAGTGGTCAACTCTTTATGGGTAGAATAGGTTATGAGATTAATCTTAACACTTTTCCCATCTCCGTTACCATGACTTCGTCCAATCTTGTTTTGTTTTCCCCTCCACTCCAGTACGTTTCAGAAAGGAAGTTGGAATATATTAGACGGGATGAAGTGGAGTGAGGAAAAATAGTATAAAGTGCACTGAAGGTAAGAACCCTAGCAGCTGCGTGTAGATTAACGTCATTTATAGATTAACGTCAACTTACGTCATTTTGAAAAAAATATGAATTTTTTAATATGTTACTTGGGATACTATTTGAAGCTGCTTCCCAATCCGCCGGACAGTTTCCAACCGCTGAGCACGCGTTAATAAAAGGTAACATGAAATGTCCGGTGTCTTCAACTAGTTACCATCAACAGAATGGCGCATCTTAGCATTAGTGTACCTGCGTATGTTTTTCTTCCCACTCAATATACATGTGCCCACACAGTACTTTCGACTCTAGGTTTAGTTACACGGTATGTTTCTTCTTTTCGGAAGGGAGAGGGGGGAAGAAATTTTGGCGAGAAATAAGACAAAGGTAAGTGGGAAGAGAGAAAAAAATTTTTTTGGTTATTTGGTTTCACTTTAATTATTATCTTTGTTATTACAGCAATTATTTTATTTTATAACCATCGTTGAAGAGCAGATCCCATTTTGGGTTTACGACTACTGATGTTCAACTCCGTAGCCTTGTCATTTTGAACCCAATCCAGAAGACAAGGGAACTCCTGGATTAATACCAAATACTTAAAAATCCTTTTGACATTCTCATTGAATGGAAATGATTGAGTGCAATATAAGTCGTATTGGCTGGAATTTTATAAATTCCACTAAAGACTTTTGCTTATTTGGGTGAGATAGCATATTCTCCAAGCTAAACTGCACAAAGAATCTTTATAGACCTAAGTTAATCGATGATTACCTTAAATCTCTTTTAATGAATGGTTCACAAAAGTCGCGGTAGCTCAGGGAACAGCGCCTTCCAATAAGGTGACCCAGGTTCAAATCCTAGCGATGGCTGATCGATACGAATTCTGCACCCGGCTTGCACCTACCACAGGGCTGACGTAAAATATCCTCAGAGGTAGACGGATCCTGAGTTAGTCCCTTTGCCACTCCATGTAACGCAAATGCGAGTAAGTTCGATCAAGAAGTCCTCCGCAAAGACAAAATTTCTCCCAATACGTGATCTAGGAGTTCCCTAGTCTTCTGGATTGGGCTCAAAATGACGAGGCTATGACGAATAGTCGTAAACCCAATAAAATTGGGTCTGCTATTCAACGACGGTAAAAAAATAGAATTATTAGGCTACAAACCATTATCAGCGTAAAATCACAATGGCATAAATCTCATAACTATTTTCTTATTAATAGGCACTAAAATTCAAAAAAAAAAAACTTTTCTTTTTATCAAACTTATGAAAGTAAGAATAAGCCATTAGCTGCCGTACTGTTTGAAGACCCTAGTCTTAGGAGATTGATACGTATTCAATTTTATATTTTAAATGTTCCAAAGTTATTTACAGAAGTAATGTGTATTGATCATCTTCAATTAAGCGGCAAAAGTTTGAAGTTAAAATTAAAATTGAATTACGGAAGCTCAAGATAAAATCAAATGGAACATTTTTAAAAGTTAAATTTACTTCTGTTAAAGTTAAATTTACCTTTAAAATTACTGGTAGTAAATACATTTAAACTATCAATTTCAACGTGAAAAAAAAAATTTCTTTTTAATGTCACACGTGTTGAAAAATTCAAATCGCTAAAATTTAAATAGAAAAATAACGGTTACGAAATGAATAAAAATAGTGTAGAAAAGGTTTTTTGTTGTGTGACATAACGTCACTAAGATGAGTAGAAAACAGACGAATTGTCGGTGGGAAGAATTCTCGTTCATTATAGCATCTGTTCCCACCCCTAAATAACTACTTTTTTTTTTCAAAAATCATTTTCTTTCGAAAAATCAGATAAAAGTAAAAATATGTTGTTGTTGTTCTGAGTTTATAAAAAACATCGAAATTTAATAACTCCAAATCTAATTTTTTTCTTTTCCGAATCTAATTTTAAAAAGTTCTTTTTTATTAGTAAGTTATAATTTTACTGCGATTAGTTTTTCCTTCGCATTGAAGCATCATAAATAATTTTCTAAAACTAATTTGAAAGACTGATTTTTAGCCATATCTGCAATTCTTTCGCTGTACTGAATTTAAATGGCTCAAAAAATATCTCAAATATTAATTCTATTTTGAAATGCAACAACATTTCATGATGGATTACTTCAAAGGAAAGAAAAGCAAATGTGAAATCTTTTTCGTCACAAAAATTATACGTTTTTTCTTCGCAATTGAGGGCCTTTGAGGAGATTTGTTCAGTATTGGGACAGTGTGAAACGAAATCGATTAAATATAAGTCTCAAAACAAAATGATCCTACATTGGACAGTCGCAACTGAAAAAATGTGCAGTGTCGGAAAAAACCGACCACCTTGAATAATTTTTGATCTAACGATCGGATTTTCATGCTCTGCAACTCAATCTTAATGGTCGGAAGGGATATTCAATACGATATATGATCGAAATCGATCGAATAGCTCCTGAGAAATCAAATTTTAAGTGTCTGAATTTTTCGAAAGTCTATTTCTCTATTCAACCAATATCGTAAAATTAAGTTCACATTTTGTAGGTTGCCTTGCAAAATTACATACTTTAAAATGGTGTAAAAAATTCTATACCTTCCAATTCAAATCTTTTTCGACTATTAGTAAATATAATAAAAGTTAGTATTAGTAAAAATAATAAAAAATAATAGATATTTACTCAAATTTATTATTTACTCTCAATTACCATGAGATGAACGAATTTTAATATTGTCAGCCAAAAATGTTTCAAATTCTCATAAAAAGTTCTCGAGATAAGGTGAAATACACTAAAAGTAAAATTAACATAATAAAGTAAAATTAAGTTCACACTTAGGACCGCTCTCCTGATCAAACTATGGGGACTATATTTCCCAGATTGCAGCTATTTTATTAATTTATTTTATGGGTCAAAAATCGGCCGGGAAAAAAAGACAAGTTTATTCAGGAAAAATACGCTTTTGTGTCTGATTTCGTAAATTAAAATATCGTCTGCGATAATAAATTAGCCTATTTGAGGTCTCTCCCCTCCTCGAACCATTAAGATAGATTCCGGGAACGTAAAGTTCGAACGTAATGGTCTGTACATTAAAACTCGAATTCATACTATAAAATTTTGTAAGATAATAAGCAACATTTAATGTTAAAACAATAACAATGACACTCTTTTATTTTAAACGACTGCAATCAAACCCCTATATAGTGAACATGATTTACAGTGAACTCCCGGATATAATGAACGAAATGTTCGGTCCCGTGCCTTGCTATACAGGTATAATGTTAGTTTTTGTGGATATAGTGAACCAAAAAAGTGAAGAAGTTGAATATAATGAACTTTTTTCTGTCTTCGACTGATTTTTTTTTTTAATAATTTCGAAATGTCTACATCAAAATAAACACTTATACTGATTTTTAAAACCATCTATAGAGTGTAATGTAGCGATAAGCATTTTCTCTTGTTTGCTTCTTTTATCTCACTTTTCCATCCCTAAACAAAGGCTTACCCAGGCAGATGTATAGACACATTTTTCCCTGCATCAGCAAAAGATTACTATTTTTTTTTTTTTGCACACAAGACAAAAAGTAATAAAAAATCAAAGCAAGTGAACACATTTTTTGTTACTATATATTATTTTTCAATCATTTTTGTATTTCATTTTGTGGGTCACTTATTCAAATAATGTATAATAAAAAGAAGGAACCATTAGTTAAAATCGTTTGCGGGACGGATATAATGAACTCCCGGTTATAGTGAACAGAAGTTTCAGTCCCTTGAAGGTTCACTATAGCGGGGTTTGACTGCATTTTAATAGAGTTACCGACCGAAATGTTTGCTTTCATAACGAGGAAGGAAATTGTTATGGATGATTTTAGTGAAGGCAAAAATCTCGCGACAGGATTTCTAAAAATTACGGAAGAACCTTTTCTGTCCCAATACTTTATAAAAATAGTAAGAAGGAAACGATGCTTATTTTGATACCAGAAACAAATAAAATGTCGTATAACATTGCTCAGAAAAATATGAAGAACGAAAAATCGCGTTTTTTTTTTTTAAATTCATGATAGTAGTCGGTAATGTATAAATGCTTTTTGTTCTAGACGACAGAACAATTTGTGAATGAGGTGGTGATTCAACAACATCCAGTCATCATGACAGATCATGACAAAACCATCAAAGTCGTCTGCTCTTTTGAAGTGATGGAGAGGACATATACTATGGCAGGACCAGGTATATCAGGAGGATCGGGTGTAGATGTTGCGTAAGTTTACCCCTTTTTTTACACCTGCTTCCTTAGCTGAATCAGGAGTCTGTCCAGACAGTTTGTGAAAGGTCCATTTTTGTAAAATTGTGAAAAAATTGCGAGTCATTTGTGAATATAAAATAAACGTTAAGTCACATTCTTTCAACCAGGATCCTGCTTTTGTAAATGTGTGCAAATAGGGTCCTGTTATTGCAAAAAAACTTTTTCAATGAGTTTTTAAATTGTAAAGACATGCAAGATTATGCTCAACACTGTAAAATTATGAAGAAAAAAAATTAAATTTTAAAAAATAAACAGCAATTGCTGCTACTAAATTAGAGATGCAACATACATATATATGGTATTTAGCCTATACTGGTGAACTCAGAATATTCGTTTCAGACGAATAAAGGAAGAAGCATCTGCCGAAGACAAAACTTAGTTCGTTTACATCTGTCTTTCTTTCCCCCCAACCCCCGGGAAGGGTTTATTCGATTATCAAAACAATAATGAATATAAACAAATTTGTGAAGGGTCCGATTAAAA